ACATTTAATGATATTCTAGAAAGACGGTGCAAAACTGTATACTTTGACATTACTATTTTTTGGAACAGTGCAGTGCTTCAGTGCTTGAGAATCTTTCAAATTATATGGTAATGGTTTTCGTTCTGTCACTTGTCTTCTTTCCTCTGCAGGAACTTTAAACTTCATAAAGTCTAAATGCATTTGTTCTTTCAAAATCACTGAAAGGTATCTAGCATTGTCATAGGTGGCAGCCACATTTAGACAAGTGTTATGTTGTAGCACTGCTGAAATTGTAACGGAAATGTCTCCACCAGACAATCTCAGTTAGACCATTCACAGTTGAACCTACGATAATCCCATGAGAGTGATGCTCAGCATGAGATACAAAAGAGGTTTGGCTTTAGAAGGTGATCGTTGAAATGTTTGTAAAACTGTTTGTAACTTTGTTTAAATGTGTTTTTATATAAGCATCTCCTATAGTTATGTGGCCCAAAAATGCTGGAAAAAAGTATGAAATTTCAATCCACATCTATGTAAGTATATAGCATACATGTTCAAAATAAACTCTTTTATCTTATATATCTTTTATCTTTATCTTATCTTTTCATCTTGAAATGATATTTAGACCATCTGTTATTTCAGCCTTGCTTTTTTTTTTTAAACACTTTGGAAAGCTATGATCTTTCTGTCTTCCTTCTCAGACACTACTGTTTCAATTTATTTATGTGATTTCCTTCTTCTTTCTAGCGTTAGAGGAAGTTTCTCTCTTACAACACTGTCAGCTTCATCTGGGGATAAACATGTTTGTTTACTGTATATATAGGAATGTACATGGTAGAATGCAAATAATATTAATAATAATACATTTTATTTGAGGGTGCCTTTTTAAAACCCAAAGTCACCTTACAAAGAAAAAAAGATATCAATAAAACAATAGATTAAAATAATTAAAATACAAAAAAAAAAAATACAAAAAATAAAACAAACAAATGAATAAACAAGATTTGACAGCAAGCCAGTTTTGTATGTACAATGTATATTGGTTGCACAAGACTGTTGGTTTAGATTGAGTTAGATTCAAGAACATTGTGGTAAGAGCAGAATCGGCTGGTCCTCATCTGTTTCCAATTTTGCACATACAGTTGTTTTTTGCGCAGGGTAACAACATTTCTGCTCAAATATTAGTAAATCCAGGTGCCTTTAATATTTTTCGACTATAAATTACAAAGAGGTTTGTCTGTTTCAGTACCTGTTAAAGCTGAAGTATGTAACACAATGTCAGAACTGTCAGCAAAAGTCTATCATTTTTACAGTGACATTTACCGTACACACAATCACTTTCAAACAAAGCAGTCATTCACATCCGTGCATTGCCTATGTTTTTTCACAGTGGCTTTAAAATTTCCATTTGCTGGAGGAAAATATACATTATCACTGCTTGAATTAGCTGCCAGGGGGTAAGTGGGTACCACAGTGGTGATGGAGGTCAGCACTGAGGCATAAATTACATATGGATTTCTTGGGTTTGCCCATAAACTTTTCGCATCCAGTGCCCCAGGGGGAAGAATGTATGGATAAAACTAATTGTACTGTGCTCCTTCCTGTCAGCTGATGAATTAATTTCCACCTGCTGATGCTCAGCTAGCACAGCTAAACACTTGAGCAACTCATTATGTTGCCATACACCCTGGGGACAGAATCATTTTGCATCCAGTCAAAATAAAGCTAATGCAATAAAATGAAAGACAGCTATGGCAGTGAAAATCTTGCATGTTAGTACGGAGTATCTTCTGAAGTACCAGAAATTTCCAAGCATTTAGTTTGTTGTCTCAAAGTTAATGAACCAAACGCAGGATTAGAATTAGAAGATCAAAAGAGTGAGTGAGCAAATGATATATAGACATTAGTATTAGTTAATAACAAGGCCTAGGATATCTTTGACAGGATGTGAACAGATCATTTTGTAGTCAGTGAGTGAGGTGGAAGAAAACTGTGCAACCTGACCTGATTGAGAGTAGATCTGAACAGTGTTTAGAACAGCGAGGTTTGTGGGGTCATCAAGAGTGATCGAAGGACAGTAAAACCATCAACCACCACTAATGGTGACTGGCTTTGTCATCGAGTGAAAGGAGCCTTGTTGCAGAACAATAGATTTTAATATTTTCACTGAAAAGAGGCAAATGTTTGTCTCCACTGCTGATCCACTGATGGTAGTTCAACCACATTGACTTTAACAGTAACTTGAACTTAATATGCATTTGGTGCTAAAGCATCCCTCTGCTCTCTGCTATGTGTCTGACTACGTTTCTGCAAAGCCCACAGCTACCACTTAGCCTGTCCAGAGGAGCCGAATATCTATCAGCATTATGAAACCAAACCTTTGATCAAAGGATTTGGGATTATCAAGAACTTGCAATTTAGAGTGTAAAAGAAGCAGCTGATAGGTTGAACTGCTAAAACTGTTTCGGCTGACAAAGTAGATAAGACTCAAGAAGAGTGCAGGGGAGAAACCCACAATACCATTTCCATAGTATTAGAGTGTGTGTGGGTGTGTTTGCATGCACGAATATCTTTGTGAATGCCTTGAGCATTTTCTGCAATAAGACAGACTATCTCTGCCCCATTTAACATTCCCATGTTTTCAAGCAAACAGGTAAAATGACTAATTTCCTTGAAGCAAAGTGTAATTTGTTGGAAACCTTATTAAGATCCAAATGATTTGTCTTTTTTTATTTAGTTATTGCCCAAACTTAACCTCTTGATGAGCTTTTATAAATATCCACAGAGATCAAAGCAACAGCCTGAAGAGCTCTGTGCGACTTGCGCTGCACTCTCACTTTTCTGAAAGCAAAATTTTAAAGAGTGTCAGTGGAGAAGAGCTTGACACCTTTTGTCAAAGGGGAATAGAAGCGTGAAGAAGTGGTAATTTTACTAAATGATTGTTTCAAAGTGTTCAATCTTAGAGGGAAAAAATGCACAATGTGAAGCAGGTGAAGCAGGGATGTCATCCAGAATGTTAAATGGGACCTTTTGTTGCTCATTTCCTACTCCATGTTTTTATTCAAGGACTCTGCTGGAGTAGTTTTGAATAAAAACTAAAATATCCCTATGTAACTTATGCTGGGTTTTGCTGCTCTTTAGCTCATCCACTGTGTAGCCTCATATACTATATATGAGGGGATCTGCTGGAGCCACTCGCCAAGCTTGGGGGTCACTGCAACAAATGCTTCGATTACCACTGGGACCACATCTTCTCGAGCTCTTCTCTGAGCCCTTGGTACTTCTCCAGCTTCTAGTGTTGCTGTCACTCATTATGGCTACATCGATCACTACGGCCGTCTTGACTTTGGGACTTCCAGGTTATACTCGGCACAGATCTTTCTGAATGCTATGCCGGCCACTTGGTTATGGCATTCCATGTATGCCCTGCCTGCTAGCGTCTTGCACCCTGCTGTTATGTGCTGGATTGTCTCAGGGGCATCTTTACACAGCCTGCACCTGGGGTCTTGCCTGGTGTGATTGCTCCTCCTTCTTGGGTTTCTGCTGCCTGAGGTATTCACAGAGCATGCGGTTGGTTGTGGCCTGATGTTCCTGATATATTCATGAATGTTTGGTGTCTCATCCAGGACTGTGGTACTGACCTGCCCTCCTTCCTTCCACTTAGCGTACAGTCTCAATGTGCTGAACTTGGGGTGAAACCCTCCATGCATGGTAAGGAGCTTCCTGGTCTTGATGTCAGTGGCTTCTGTCTCCTGTGGCCAGCTTATTATCCCAGCAGGGTACCTGAGCACAGGCAGGGTGTAGGTTTTGATAGCCTGAATCTTGTTCTCACTATTCAGCTGACTCCTCAGGACTTGTCTGACCCTCTGCAGGTACTTGGTGGTTGTAGCTTTCCTAGCGGCCTCTTCCTGGTTCCCATTTGCACTTGCTCATGATACTTGTATATATGGCAGATATGGTTCTAAGGCTTACATGTACATACACAGTTTTCACTGAAAATCACCTTTGTAACATCCATCCATCTGCTTATCCAATTTGGGGTGTTGGTGGCGCTTCTATAAATTATTATATGCCAAAAATAATGAGATAATAACACTCAACTAAAAAAATTGATTATATGATGCTGTAATACTTTTATCTTCAATGACCTTTTATAAAGCAATAAGACCTGGTGTACAGTTGTTAACACTATAACATAACTGTCATCATATTTAATGATCTACAGTATAACTTCAATGTGATGTGACACAACTGGTCAAACAGCGATAAGTGGAAGAGCGATTTCATCCTGACTTCTTAAATGTTTAAGAGCATCTTAAGTGCATATTAATTTAATTAAAA